GCTAGGCCGGTGAAAAACTGCCGCCACAAGGATGTCTCAGATCTGGCAGTTCTTCATTGCTGCCCCGGCGAAGACCACCCATGTGTTGCGAACTGATCGAATCGCTGAGTCACTTAGTGAAAGCATTCCCAGAGACTGTGGGAAAATGTAGACGTCAAGCCCGGCCAGTTCCTGCGTTCCCGCGGCTTGGCGAGATGCTCGCGGCAAGCGGGAGACGCAGACGTTGGCAATGTTGCACACGGCTGCAAGGCGCAGTTTGAAGTGGCATTTTCCCGAGCTTTTTTGCTAGGGAAGCCGCTTCAAAAACATCTGTTTGGCTCCGATGGCTGTAACCAGACTCAAGCGAAATGTCAAAGTTGTGCTTTGGCAACTAGATTTTGACAGATGTCGCTTGCAGAAGCTGGGCAGCTGTTACAGTTGTTGATGCCATGATTTATCATTAGCTGTCATTAGCTGCGTGCGGCTATCGGGGGCTTGTGCGCAATTTGGCTTGGGGCTGGCTGACCGCGTAGCATCCCCCGGTTTGCATTATCAAGACATCATATATACTGTGCAACCTAGAAGATTTTTGCTCCAAGAGATATTGTTGGCGCAGGGGTCCAGCCGGATCCCGTTATCAAAATGTCACCCAGGATCTGTCTCGGTTGATCTTGGAAAACCAGGGATCGATGTTGTGGTCGAATGCATGCATGCGATTTCGTCCGTAGGCCCCACGGGCGGCCAACACAGCGACGTTTACGTCAGGCTGTAAGTTGTAATAAGTTGTATCACAACAAGTCCTGCGGCTTCGTGACGTTTTCACGGGCGTGGTTTGGGGAGGCTGTCCCCACCCGATGTCATTTTCGCAATTGGTTGCTATAGAAATGGGTTGAGATCGCAGACGGCATCACAAGAAGTGTTGCTGTCTCATGACCTGTTATCGACTTGTCCGTGCCTTCGACAATGGATGTCGTCTTCGCAACAAGCTCTTGGCGGCGGGCGAGCTTCTGCGCAAGCATGTGATCACACAAACACGATGCGCAAACTTATGCCCATAAGAATGTTGCAGTCATAGGCTATGATTCATGGTAATGCGTATTGTGGTGTCTGCATCTCATGCCCGGTCTCTCGAGTCTCTCTGCTTTCGTTTATTCGTTGAGCGAGTGATGCCGAAACATGCTACATTCATCGCAAGGTCTTCCTTTTGCAATGCATGTTTCGTGACAGCACGTCACAGTTCAAAAGCCGAGCCATTGTTGCGACTGTCGGTGACGGTCGAGACCGTGTGAAAGGTTCCATGGTGATGTTAAATGTTGAAACCGGGATGTGTTCGAGGTGTTATGGCTAAGGAACTGATTCCATGTTCTTTGATATGTATATGGATCAAAAAGCACATCGCTCCGGCCGTTTCGCCGGATTTTGAGTTCCTTTGCGATGCACAATTCAGAACAAGCCTGCTTCTGACCTCGGAAATCATATTTGTTAACGGCAATTGCAATGCTTGTTCTCAGTTCATCACAAGCTACCTGGCGGACAGAAACGATGACAACAGTAATTATTAATTACATTTGCCACAACCCGCCGCGCGTTTGCGGATTCCATGTTGGCACCAAGCGACATTTCAAGCGGAAAGCACTGCCCCTGTGCGCGATGTAAGGTTTACAGCTTACATTGCATTCTGCATGTTCGCTGTGCTCAATGCATCTCAGCTCAAATTGAAGGGGTGAGGTTGTCGAAGATTTCCAGTTAACCATGTTGAGCCGTGGAAGTTGTGCGTTAAGTTATGTACACTACAACCACGAACATAGTCGTCGTGTCACCTCTTTTTTTGCTATGAACATCGCCCGTAGACCCAGCGACCAGGTCATGACAGGTATCTTCTGTCAAGTAGCTGTCGCACCTTGGCAAAGACAGATAGCGTTCAGTTTGTTGTCATGTTTTCATGCTGGTGGGGACACGTGGAGGAGTTGGACGTGGTCTTGCATGTCGACAAGTTGAAGTTTAAATGCAGGAAGATAGTATATAGTCTTCGACTTGATTGACAGTAGGACTTCTGGCGTTTTGCAATTTGTCCCTTCGGTCATGTTCGTGCTGTCTCACTGAGGAAAGCTCTCGCAACGATCCACAGTTTTTAATGCAGCACTTGCTTGTGCTTCAGCTGCAGTCTATTTGCTTTGCAGCCGGACGTGTTGCCAAGACTGATTTGGTCGTGAACCGAAATCATAGTGATCAGGCAGAGAAGGATCGCCAGACCGATTTGATCCGGAACTTATTTCGTATCTTCGACAAGCACCTCGGCACAGGATGAGTGTTTTTCGTCGTACGCCTGGTGCGGCATGTCACGGAAATCTCAGCCTCAAGCCGCTCGACTCGCGCAAGCCGTTCGACTAAGGGAAAGGCGAGGCTACATAGCGCTCACAGCATCTTGGCAGCCTGTACATAAATGATACGGCGCGCGCTGCTTGTTCCGGCGGCTTGATGACATCATGCGATCCGTGCCTAATTACGGAGACAAAGTGCAGTGTACGGAGCTCAAATGACCATGGCAGCCGAGGAGCTGGAAGACAAGTTTAACGATGAAACGGCCCAAGGCGCTCGTCCGTACACGGGCCGAGAAGCACGTTACTTTATTGTGCATCTAGCTGCGCAACAATCCCGCAATCTCGCGGTCATGCATTCAACAAAAAATAATGTTCCAAGATTTGACTTGTTGGTGTAGAGGAGCTATGCTAGTCATATGGGAGAACTTATTAGAACACTTCCTCAGGTCCTGAAATAAAATGCGTGCAGTGTGCAGGTACGCAATTGTAGACCCTCCAGAGACCCTTATTTTGCCCGGCAAAGCTCGATGAGAAACTACCGTGACTATGCACGAGTGCCCATGTTGCCGAATCCAGATGTAGAGAGCCAATCCCTTCTCTGTTCAGATAGACGAGCAGCGAGAAGTCAAAGTCTTCATCTGAATGACAGATTCCTTTCCGCCCAGAGCTCTGAAGCACGCCAGGAATGATGGGTCTGCTGGAGATTTATCCGGAGAGTAGCTGGTCCCTCTTCAAGAAGCTGCTGGGACGACACTGGTTTTATCGGGTCTGGTCCCAGCGGCCTTGAATTGCTTCCTTCATGAAGGTCCGTTGCTTTTCATGTGTTGTGCTAAGGTTGGATGAGAATGCAGACGGAAGACTCAATGAAGAGCCTTGTCCGGTGATGTTGACGAAGCCAAGGCAGAGAAGGCAACAAGAAAAGTCGTTTAGCTAATGTCGAGGATGTTGAACACGAGACACATGTGTGTCCGAATGGTTCAGCATTCATTGCCAGGTCATTTGTTCATGGTGTGCCTTCTTGTAATATGGTGTGCCCCCGGGGTGCCGTGCCAGAACACGGCCTCTTGTACCGCTCAGCCCAATCTGGCTCCACACACCAAGGACGAGTTTGTGAATGGCATCTTCAAGTTGAAGGGTGTTGCAAAATCATGGGACGTCGAAGCTTCGCTGCAATAAAATAAGCAATTTGAGTTGTGTCTGAAACTCAAGCCTGCAAGAGGGTTGTGAATGAATTGAAAGGTGCCTCGAATCCGAGAGCTCTAAGAAAAGTCAGTCATGATAAAACATAATGGTACTGTTCCTGCAGTATGCTCATTGCATGAACAGCGGTCTGCGGAGCATGTGGTCTTCTGATTGGGCGTTTGCGCACACGGCATTCCGCGTGGCCCTGAAATTCACCCATTGCAAGCTAAGGAAGAAATCTTGCAAGACGTTCGGCACGCATATTGGTGGATGCATTTCTACATGGTTTCTGCAATCACAGTAGAGACGAACGGGGCCTACCTTCAGTGCTACCGACCTCACCTTCATCGATCGTCACTAAGCATTAGGTTCTTTTGGACGGTCAAGCCGACCCCTCTCGAATTCTCTGCCAGGCCTTAAGTGCAGTAGCAGTGTCAGCAATGTTGCTCTCAGTTTGTTGCATGCAATCTCCACATAATATACTTGAAGCAGTGCTTCTGGATCGACGATGTGAGTCAGACTGCCACGTAATTTGCGCAGCTCTCCCCTCAGAGGCCTCTCGCACGTTCTGTTGTTCTACTTTGCTGAGTCCAAACTCTCCTTTGCTGAGGGACAGAAGCAGCTGACACGAGCGATTGAATCGCACCTGCAGTCCTCAAGCGCAAGATTGTCTGGAGCCCACTTTGGTTGCAAGTGTTTGCTCACAAGCAGGCTGCTACACTACGATGATCCGCATCAGCCGAGGTCGAAGAACAAGATGATTCAGGAGTTAACGTAACATGGCCTGGCCAACAGCTGAAGGCTTGGTGCTTAAGACTTAAGTATCTGCTTCTCACACGGGCTAATGACGACGCTTGTGCTTCATCATGTAGAGTCTATGTAGAGACTGTCAAAGCCTTCAGCATTTTGAGCTGGAGTGGCTGGCTGGCGCAGCGAAACCGCTGGGATGCTTCTCTCTGGTGCTTCGACCTCCTTCAGCATAGAAGTGCTGCCCGTGAAGACCTCATGGCTAGTCCGACCATGCTTCACTCCGGAAGGGGCTCGGACCCAAACCTGCACCGAAGCAACTCCGCGTTCCGTACAGGTTCGATCTGGTGTGACCGCTTGTATAAATAGCCAGCTTAAGGGGACACAAAAGCCTCCAAGAGGCTATCTGAGCTGCCAAAGGCAGATATTCAATTCTTTGTCCCTGCGGACAGGTCTGCCGTGCATCGAAACATGCGGTGGAAAAACCGGGCCTTCGTTGCTGCACTTCTTGCATCTGGAGCTTGCCACAACGGACGATAGTTCAGCCCACTATCCGTTAGTCAGAGACAAGGCCATGAATAAGGACCAAAATACCCATAATATACCCGCTGAAATAAAAGCATGAGCGAAACTCCTGCAAGAGCCACAAGCCTCTGCAGATGCTATGAGACATTATTGTATGGTCTTGCCTACGTTAAGCTTGGAGCCTAGACAAGAGAGTGACCTGAAGCCCTGATCCCTGCAAAGAAGCCTTGACTTTTGAATTGGCAGGACGACTCGACAGACCAGTGCTGCGGCCTGGCGTGGAAGGCGGGCAGCCTTCTCACGGATGATAGCACATCCAGAAGAGCACATGGCAAGAAGCAAAGTCATTGTCTCAGTCGAAATCGCAAATCCGTATTGAACTACCACTCATAGGATACCTTCCACGGTTGTCCTTCACAGATCTGCCACGGCTGCAGTGCTCCCCCTTGACACACTTCTCATGAGTAGTTGTCGCTGTATCGAGGTGCAGCGGTTTCTGTTTATACAGGTAGTCGAAAGAGAACCACGGTTTTGGAAGACTCCCTTGCAGAACCCGTCGTTGAGAGCCGGGCGGCAAAGAAGAAGAAGTTTGATGAGGAGGCGGGAGTTCGTGTGCAATTGCCTGCCAAGTCCATCAGCCTTCTGTGCATGTCAGTAGCAGCTTCATTCACACTCAGAAGAGCACACTCCCAGACGGCTGACCTGGAACAGATGCAAAGACATGAGATGACTGCCACAGACGCGACAGGTTTTCGGCACGAAGTACTTCTGAAGCTGAAAGAAGTATGTGGTTGCCACAAGCGTACGGATGCAACAGATTTTCGGCGCCAGCTACTTCTGAACTTGAAGGAAGTATGCAGTTGCCACAAGCGTGCGGCAAGGCTCAAAATATCCGCGTGTTTGAGAAAGAGCGAGAGAGAGTGTTTTTCTGTCTGTGTGTGTGTGTGTGCGTATGTCTCACATAAAACTCGAGGGGATTACCTTTGCAGCACTGAGAGAGAAACGCGTGAGTTCACGATCCATCACTCACTTTTCGCCGAGACAGATAGTTTGTGGCGAAATCAGAAGAAGACGTCATTCCGAATACTCTGCTAATCATGTTTGATTGTGATGCAGGGCATCTCATTGTTGAATCGTTGCATTTAGTTCCGCGGTGATGTACGCTGCTGCATCTTGGATCGCCAGACACATGGGCTAAACAAGCCGAGAGCCTCACGGCAACAGCTTCAAGCCAGTTTCTGAAAGTTGGACTTCAGTTGCGGCAATCTGTTTTGCTGTGTTTCAGAAAGCCTTGGCATAGTTCGGAAACCCGCCGTCTGAACGTCTGAACATTGCGTGAGTTGCTTGACCAGCTCAAGCGCAAAGTCTGAAATCCTGTCAAGCGATTTCCGAGAGTCAGGTAGAAGTGTGTGCATGTGCGTGTTACAGACACTGTTGCCGCTACCTTGCGAGGACTCTACGCTTCCTTTGGACTTGAAAAAACTCCCGCCTTGTAGGGTTTCAAGTTTGCGATGTTTCACTCGGATCGTGGGGTTTTGTCACAAGCCTTCGCTTTTGGAGTTTAAGGTTCATGCGGACGTCTCGGGAAGTCTGTTGGCAATCGGGAATCTGCAAGGTTTGTTATGCCGGTGTCAGGAAGTTGAGCATAAAAACTGCCGTCTTTGTTAGCTGCACTGCACTCACGCTGCCCGAACTGTGGAATGTCGTTTGCCTTCACGCCTTTTCTCCGTTTGGGTCTGACGCCTCTTTCCACTCATTGCTCTTGCAGCAGTTGCTTAGCTTTTGATCAGAACGATGTCATCTTCTTCATTCGTCCTTACGACCGTGAGCCAAACTGGCAGTGTGATTTGCCCCGGTTCTCCCATGACTCCCATGCTGTCCTGCATTCAGAAACAGTCCGTGACAAACGAGGCAACACCTGTCTGTGTTCGCGTTCGCATTGAGTGGGAACAACTGGTCGCAAATCCGCCGCCTCTGCAAGCCTAATGGAGCTTGAGCTGATTGGACTGAGGCTGGCCTGGCCTCACTAGCCATACTAGTAGCAGACAAACCAAACCGCCATTGCAACGGGATGAAGTGTCGCAATTTGTAGGATGAAGCTGTGCGAAGAAATGACTGCGTGCACGACATGTGAAGCACTGGCGGTGAGCAATGGAGCTGCCCTTAAACGGGCCTGATGGATTATCGATGGCACTGGCCATGACGTCTTCTCCGCGAGGCAAGTCTGAGCTGCGCCGGCTGTCCGGGGTTTGAGCGTGCACATGTGCGTTTGTTTCGCTGACCTGGCCGAGTCCCCGCTAAACGTCGCTACGACTGTCTGTCAAAACATGCAGAGGCTGGTCTCGTTGGCCACGGCCTGGAACTTTGCTGACCTGTAGCTCGGGCTATTTGCTAGGAGTACCTGAGCAACACAATGATGTTCGAAAGCAAGCCAGGCTTGCTTCTTGATTCTAAGGTTCGTATGACGGAACAACCAAGTTCTGGTCCATCTCAACAGGGCGCTGCTGGCGCAGCCTCAAGCAGGAGGGCCCTGTGATGTCAGTCGCCGTGTCGCCAGACGGGAGGCATCGACGGGCATGTTTTATCCAGTTGACTCTGCATGTCCACTAGCTGACCAACGGATGAGTTTCAATCCGTCTTGAAAGTCTTGACAAGCCCACAAAGGCCATGATGGAGTATCCTGCCGTTTCAAGGCTTTCTTCTCGCTGTTGCGTTCTGGTCCCGTGTCGTCCACTGGCAAAGTCCGCTCCTGCGCTTCCCGTCCCGTGCCGTTGTGTCCCATGTGCAAGCCCGCACACTGCTCTTGTCATTCCCGGTCAGACCTCGGCTGTCGAATCGTCGTAGCATCCAGAGAGCCTCTCAGCATCCAAGCTCTTGGCCATAATGGCATGATCTGTCGTGTGTCCTTCAGCTTGCTCTGTGCAGGTATCTGTTGACGGCTGCGTATGATGGTGTCGCTGCAGTCTGGTGCGCGCTCAGCTCAGCCATCTGCGAATTACTAATGGTGGGACCCTAACTGCATCTTTTTGCCTCAGGTGGCCAAAGGGGAAGCCATCCGAACTTTGAAGGGGCAAGAGGGTGGCCTTTACACGGCGGTATTCTCACCGAATGGCCAGTCAGTGCTGCCGCTCGTCTCCATCTCACAACAGTGGTCCCAGCTGTGTCGCGTTGTTGCTGTGCACGGCTGTAGGGCCACGAATTAGCTGCTCTCAGTGAGCTGCTCTTTTAACTGAATCAGGACGGCCTCGGCGCATGGAGCTGCTTGCATGTGGAGATGGAGGATTGGCAAGGCCGCCTTTGCTATGGCTGCGGAGCTGCTGAAGCCTCCGTGCGCAGTCTGAATCAAAAGGCCAAGCCGTGGTTGGTAAACGACCGGAGGCTCCGCCCTGTCACAGGTGCAATGGCTCTTGAAAGGGCACGAGGACAACTACATGCGTTCCGCGACCTTTTCGCCGGACGGAGAAACCATTGTCACAACATCCTCAGATTGCTCACTGCGGATCTGGCAGCTCGACTCGTCGGACGAGTCTAGAGCTCCTTCGCTGCACACAAGGCTCTGGCAGATGCTACTCTGCACAAGTGTTCCTTGCTGCATGGTCATCTGGAGCGCTTGAGGCGCCGGTCCTTCTCAGAACACTTGAGGGCCACTATGGCTGGGTGGGCGACTAAGACTCAGCTCCCGTGCACGCCCGTTTGGAAGCGAAAAAGCCGTGAACTCGACTGGTTTTGCCGCTGCTGACCAGCAGGTGAACACAGCGGTCTTCTCGCCCAGTGGCGATCAGATCCTGTCAGCGGCTGCCGACAAAACAGCCAGGCTCTGGTCTGCATCCACAGGCCTGTCACCCTCCGCATGAGAACCATGTCTCAGACGCGAGGTTTCGGTAAGGTGCAGTGCTTGGTGGCAGGAGTCTGCCTACGGACCTTCACAGGGCATTGGGCGTACGTGCGATCGGCTGTTTTCAGTCCGCAGCAGACCATGATTCTGACGGCTTCAGCAGACTGGACGGCCAAACTGTGGAACTCGCAGACGGCAACTTGCATACAGACCTTTACCGGTCACTCGCAATGGGTCAACATGGCGTCTTTCGTCAATGGCCTCTCCAAGATTGTTACATGCTCCCGGGTGACTCGGCCAAAGCCGTCCAGTCCCGTCTGCTTTAAAGTGAGGGGTCTCTTGTTGGGTGCTCTTCGCAAAGATCCACCGTTCAGGAGTTGTATTGAGGTCCCTTCGTTTCTGCCCTCCACAATCCAGTTGATTGCAGAGTGGTTTCTGGAGTGCGAGGAAGGCCTTTTCTGACAGAAGCGAATCGTGCTTTCCTGGTACATGGGCAGGAGGTTGTTTGTGCAGGGCAAGGCGACATGCAGTCTGCTTCTTTTGTTGTTAGGTTCAATGGGTGGTGGGTTACTTACGCTTTGGCTCAGTGTTTCCTTCTTTCTGTCTGTACCAGCAAGGGACAGTCTTGCTTTCAACTCGCACCGAAAAGTCATGTACAATCAGGTATCGTCAGACCTTGCAGGCCCATGTTTATGTTTTTTCGGTCATAGCCCTGTCCCACTGAAGTGCTCACGGCTCTCGAACACTCGAAAGCTTCTTCGTCGCCGTTCTCAGGATTCGCAGTTTAAGCTGGCCCCAGATATCACAGGGCAGCAATGTTGTGAACGATGCGCACAGGTGTATTGATTGTTGCTGCAATGAGTCGTGCTGGGGCTCGGATGCCTCTGACAGTGTGCAGGGTTGCCGTATCGGCAAGAAATGAGATATTCCACAGGGTTCGCATTCAATGAGCCTTGAGGACAACAGCGCCCGGCTCTGGGATACCAAAACTGGCGCCTGCCTGCGTGTGTACGACGGGCACAGTGACTTCGTGATGTGGGCGATGGTTCCTGCCGCGCTTGCAACCAAAGATCAAAGGCGCAAGATCAAAGCAACTTGGCATGGACTGCGCTGAGACACTAATGAAAGGCATCATTGGCGATTACCCATCACCCGGCCATGATCATCATCGCCAGATTCACAGCAGAACTACCTGTATGCACGCTTCGTGAATGTCATGCGCATATCCGCATCTGCAACTACGCATGTTTGCGTCCCTGCATGTGCAAGCCTGTGGTCGCGCCTGCCAAGCTACAACAGTTGAATTGACCTTTGTAGTCGGCGGGTCTGCGTTCGTGAGCTGCAAGGCTGGCCAGAGGCGATGGATAGCCAAAGCCGCTTCCATGGACTGGCAGAAACATGGTTCCGCTTTGGATCTGTGCGAGATGCGGCTGGTTTGTAGAACCATTACCGTGTATGCCATCTCCATACTATACTCGTACTTGTTGCTGAGTTTTCTGCTCAGGGAGGATGCACCGGCACTTTCACACATGGAGCCATCCAACCCACAGCTGTCGCGTTCCGGCTTGGTTGTGGTGTGTTCAGGCAGCCTTCTTCACAGCGTTGGCTCAAAAGTGTCCAAGCAAAGAGGTTATGACATGTTATACCAGTAGCAACAAAAGACTGTAGGATGAGCGATCGGATTGTTGCTCCTAAGATCGTAGTCGCTGCACACATGACATGTCCTTGCGGTGGAACTAGGAGGCTTGACCCTGCCTGAACCTGATGTAGCAAGGCACTCGCACGTCGCAAGTCACCCATAGTGTTTGCTCAAAGACCATGGTCGTGACATCAGAAACGGGTCGCTGCAGGAACACCGGGCCGTTTGCAAAGATCATGGTGCGGAAGCGAAGTTTCCGACTCGGCCCCCTTTGCTTGCCTTGTGCCGTAGCCCTCTGCTGCGGCTTTGACCTGGGCAGCCGAGCCTTCGCTCCGAGAGGAGCCGAGAGCAGAAAAGGATAATCGGACAATGTATTATGCATTATGTCATATTCTGTTATAGCGAGTAACATTAGGTCAAATCATCTTATGAGGAAAGAAGGGGTTGGCGATGGAAGTGAGTCGAAGTAAGGATATGGGCCTCAGCCCTGTGGTGCATGGAGCTCAGAGAGGTGGCGGGCCATCTCCGCGCGGCGGCTCGCGATCCCGTGGAACCGGGTCGGAGGTGGAGCCGACCTACCAGTCGAGGTGCGCCTCTCTGTCAGATACAAAACTCTGAGACGTTAAGCCAAAACCTGCGATGGAGGTGCGAGAGGCAGCAGACACTGCCTGCACGGCTGGTTGCTTTGGCTGCAGAAGTCCGGAGCTGGTTGAGTTGGTGCAAGTGACGTTGACTTCCATGGCTGAAGGAGAGGGCCTGGACTTGGAACTGGCCGTGCCGGAAGACTCGGACATGCAGGAGCTCACAGACTTGGTCGATGAAAGCTTCCAGCGGGCCATCCAAGCCAGGCCGGATGCCAGGAGCAGAGTCTTTCAGGCCAAGATTTGCAGCGAGATCCTGTGAGGATGGTTGATGGTGGGAACCCTCTTGGCGACTTGTGGAACGGCTGGGTCTCCTTGAGCGAGCGGCAGATGACCCTTGGGGCGATGCGAAAGCGCCTGGCGGGCCTGCTCTCGTCGCCCAGTCTGAGGCGACCACCCCCCCCGACTTCCCAGCAACTTCCCCAATTCCCATGTCGCCGCCCCGCCCCCCACGCCCCGGAGGCGGCCGACCAACGATGAGTGGAACCTCGGAGCTGCTCGGACGAAGCTTTGTGACTTCGTGGCTTAGGCCGAGGCCTGTTCTGGCTGAACGTCACCTGGCTCGAAGGTTCTTCTTCGCGAGAAGGGTGTCGAGAAGCCACCAATCGGATACTTTGAAATTTGCATGCAGAAACCAGAGGGGATCAGCAGGCTGGGAACGCAGGTCTTCTTGATGTTGCCGTACTAGTAGCACCTGACTCGATGCATCAAGATGCTGTCTATAATAGCTGGGTTGGTGAAGGCGCAGCGCAGCGCTGGAACCATACCTCAAGAACTTATGTGTGTCCAAGGCTCGCTCTTGCAGCCAACGAAGAGTTATGAAGAGTTATAGAGCAGAACTTGACGCCCTCCAAGTGCGGTATCGACCCTGGGAAGGCTTACCGAAGGCGCGGGCTTGGCAAGAAGCTCCTGAATTTGGTGGAGGCATTTTGCAGGACTGGGGGTGCCACTTCCACATGTCATTCTGCCTATCATGAACGTCTCGATGTCTAGTCATCTTGAACAGAACCCGCTCGATGAATCGGAGTCGCTGTGGTTCAGAACCTGAGCGTGGTTACTCCAGCATCTTTAATCTCTGCCAGACCTTCCAGATTTAGGGCCCGAACCTTCTGTCGTACAGTCGTACATGAACACAGGAACGGCGAGAGAAAGGACTTAGGGTTCAGAGCTTGCAATGAGTGTCTGCAAGCCCGGACCAACTGTAAACTCCTGGGGGCCATACGGTTATTGGATACGCCTCTCTTGCTTAGCTGCCTTGCAGTTCCCTCATTTGAGTTGACAAGCCCTGAGGACAGCATGGCAAGGCAGCGCACTCTATCTGCATACAGATGACGATGCAGCAGCCTTCAACCTCTACAACAGCACTGGCTACACAGTGAGGAAGCAAGAGAAGGCCAGGCGCTGCAGTGCATCAAATCCATGCGGGCCGTGAGGTGGCCGTCGTAGCCCCAGCTCATCAGAGCGGATAATCATCGTGAGCCCGTCCAAAAAAATAAGCCAAGCATGGTAAACACACCGACACCCGACCGACACACGACAGGATTCTCGATGAGGACATTGACCGACGCACGTTTCGCACTTTCGCCACCCTCCAACAAAGTTTCAGCACGCACAAGACACGAAACAGACATTGCGTGTACCCTCACAGACCGGGGCACTGCCTCGCATAGGTAGCCATTGGCACGCCAACGATCCAAGCGCGTCGAGTCTAGTGTGGCATGGTTGGCATGTGCGTTAGAATGCTGCTTCTCACATAAAAAGACTTTCGTCCCAGCATGTCCACTGGCATTGTATGTTGCGGTCGATGTCCGTTCGGTATGGTGCTGAGCATATGTTTGTCTATGTGTGCGTGCGTGTGGGTCTGTGCGTGTCTGTCTGGCTGTCTGTCTTTCTTTGTGTCTCTGTGAGTGTGCCCCGGAGTGAGCGCCACGACAACCAGCAGGCCACGAGAAGACCACCAAGAGACCCCAAGCCAAGAGACCAGCAGCAGACCACTGAACACCTGAGCACGACCAACAGACCGAGATACCACGGCCACACTTCAGGAGCACAGCCGCAATGTTTCCCCCAAGTGCTCGGAACTCGGAAGGAGCAGGCACGCAACACTTTCCGCAAATACTGGGGGGATTGAGGACAGCGGTACAAATATTTCACCCCCACATAATTTGTGGTGGGATTCTGGATGACGGTCAAGCTGCTTGCCCCCAATCTTGCGAGATTCAGAGTGTTGCAGCCCGAAAGATTAAGGTTCAAACTAGGACGCGAGCGCAATACAAGCAGCGCCCCAGTGGGAGCACCATCCCTAGAAGCGTTTTTCTGCGTGGCGACGCTAACCATTTCTCTCCACATAGGATGTGCTGGTTTTAACCTGAGGCTGATGGCCACGTGCAATGTGCATTGATGTTGGAATGGCTTGAGTTTCCTGAAAGCATGTGAGTCTCGTGAGTCCGACAAACAGAGCTCGTTGAACTTGACGATCAGCAATGAGCCATGTGGGCGCAGGATGGCGAAGGGGTCAGCTTCTACATGTTCAAACGCCTGGAGTAGATGCGAGCAGCATATGTTGCTATATGTTGCTCTGCTGGATAAGCCAAAGTTGCCGGATCCCAGGCTCGTCTTTCGAGCTTCCTGCAGTGCTGTACGGCTGTGTCATTTACTGGCAGGCTGGTTACTGGTTCTTCTATTATCATACCGTTGAAAGCTGTATCATCACCGTAGATAATACCAATGGTGTTGAGGAATATCCGTATCATCACCGTACACTAACCTGTACCAATCTTGCTGAGGAATATCTCAGGTTGAAGCATGGCAAGCACCGATCTTCAGGACTCCAAATTCCAAGTCTTAAGTAATTGGCGACGTGTTTGGTTCCAGCGGCCATACAGAGCCGCGGTGGGTTTATGGTAGGTATTTTCAGTCTGTGGCTGAGTTCGCTCAAGGCGTGCACAGCCGAAACGGCGTAGCTTCGGAAGAGCCCTGCAGACTATCCCGCAATTCAATGCTGGAGCGAAGAAAGGGCAGCCGCGAGTCGGTTCTCGACAACATATCAAAAGCTGCCTTGCGGTTTGTGGTCAAGGTTTTTGGAAGTGTCTCTTGGAAGTCACGAAAGCTAGCCGTAGCTAGTCTTGTGTTTCTGCTACGATGGTCGTGGTGAACTCCGGGCTGCGCATAAATCATGCGGCAACCTGCCCCCGCCCTTCCCACCCCCCTCTTCTTGACTATCTCAGGAAACCAACCCTCCCCCCCCTTCCACTTTCCCCCGTGCCCCCTCCGTCTTTCCTGACTATCTCAGGAATCCACCCCCCCACCCCAGCCCCCCACCCCCACAAGTAGGAAACACCGACGCCACCGATGCGAAAGGCACTTCGAGTGCAGGAAGACTCGTAAAAACCGATGCAAACGGCATGTCGGCTGTGTGCGTTTACGCGGAGGAGAGAGAGACGCGTGTAATACACATGCACACAACCAACAAACGGGCGGCTCCCGCGGGGGCTCGCCCTCAGGCCCGGAGAAAGAAAGAGAGAGAGAGAGAGGGGAAGAAGAGAGAGAGGTAAAAGGGGACCCCGAAACATACTGATCTCGAGGTTTATGTCATCTTGCCAGGGTCAGGTCTTAACCGGGGATACGGGACCATCTCAAGCAGTGCATGTGTCAGTCGAGAATGTACGACCCCGGCAATCCGTTATCGTAGGCTTGAATGGCTTTAGCTTTTTCGCCGGGGATACATTCGACTTTCACCCCCCACATACCCGAAAACACATCGGGTGGGCAAGATGCCCGGGGGTCTTGATCGACCCCTATGCCCGAGAGAGAGAGAGAGAGAGAGACAGTGACAGAGAATAAGAAGGGGTTGGGGACCCGCTTCCCCCGCCCCAAACGCCGAGCAAGCAAGCAAGAGAAAGTAAGAGAGACAGAGAGAGAGAGAGAGAGAGAGAGAGAGAGAGAGAGAGAGAGAGAGAGAGGTAGCCATTTTGGCTCAAGTGCTACACCTTTGCTTGGGGGCCTGTGCCGCCCCTGGGCATCGGGGGGAGGCAGGGGGTTAACCTGGACTGTAACTCCAGGGGAGCCTTCCTGCCTTTCCTGTGGTGCTTGAGCTTCATATCCGCAGCCGTGTGCTTAAGTGGCCCCGTCGTCCCTTCGCTCTGCCTGATCCCTGACCGCGGCCCCTTTCGAGGGTGGCCCGCCAGTAGGAGGGAAGGCCATACTATTCCGCCGCGGAACACAAGGTGATCCTCCTGGCTTCTTGGGGGTGTGACGGCCCATGACGGAGCAGTGTCGCTTGTGCAGACATGCACGGGGCGTTGAAAGAGCGGTCGGGATGTCAAAGCCCGACGGGGGGAAGAGAAGCCACAGAGCAGCAGGACCACAAAGACCCACAAGTCCAGAACAACGGAGCGTGACACCCAACCTGTGGGGGAAGCCAACACAGCGACCGGGGGACAGAACCAGACCGACGAGACCAACGACCCTGAAGACCCTGCCGGGCAACTTAGTGCACCCGCAGCTAGGTACAAGCCTACATGGCCCAACGCAGGGGAGAGTCTTCATGAGCACCGAGTCGCACTGAGCCCTACGGAGGAGCCTGCGGAACAAAAAATTCGATGCAGTGCAGTTGTTGGGGGATTTAGGTTCCCTGACTCCCAGTTGTCCCGTTACAACACAAAGTAGACAACGGCAGACTCAGGTAGTGAACTCTTTAAATGGGCCACTGGCCCCACCCGTGGAAACCTTGAACTTCTCTGGCTTCTTTAAGCCCCGCGATCGAATCGCACAATCTAGGCTTCTTTTCAACACGACTTGAGCTCTGGGGAATTCGGAGGGGGGATGGAGGCATAATTCAACGCAAAGCGAATCCAAGCCGTTCCGTGATACCCGTTCGAAGTAACGGGGGTGCATGTTTTTCCTCCTCCCCTCCCCCACTGGCAGAAATTGAATGTGTTTACTCATACTCCTTGACGTGACTTCTGCCGGGGGATCTTTTCGGTGCTGTAAAGCCGAGCCCGTGGACGCAAGTATCCACCGGGAACTGTGCCGAACCGCAAGTACAGTCGAGCCTTCAGGGGAAAATCCCTTGAAAGGGTAAGACCTCCCGCGAGAAGCGGGTGTGCGCGCGCACGGGGTGATCGGCCTGGATGCTGCCGTGATCCCCAAGCCCGGAAGAGAGAGAGAGAGAGAGAGAGAGATGTACCACAAGGCGGGGGAGCCCCTGACGTACCCGGACCTGCTGCACTTGGAGTACAAGACGGGGGACTACCTCATCATACAGGGGAGACAGCCAGTACTACAACACATCAAGTCGGGGGAGCTAGCTCATCGTCACAAGGAGCGCATGAATGGTGGCTGCAGGAGAGACACCACGGGCTGGGGAATGCTCCCCAAGTCGCGAGGTCGCCGACAGAGGACTACGATAGCGATGAAAGCCCGGCAGACCACCGTCGTCGCCGCCTACATGGGGCTTTCTATGGACGTCACGGTCCCGTGTGAGCACTGAGAGTGAGCGGGGGATCCTAGAGAGTGTGCAGCCAAGTCCAGCTCATCGGTGAGTCTTTTCTACAATTGATGCTGAGTTGGTGCATGTTGGAAGCTTTTGCAATTGTTTGATTGATTAAGCTGGACACGTGCGTGCTGCAAACTACGTCAACCCATGCCTGTAGTTTCAGCTGTAAAACCTTTTACAGGCTGATCGGGGGAATCAGAAAATATGATGTAGGATACCCCTTGTTGGATAGTTTGGATTCTGATTTCTTCTTATGCCAAAAATCCCCAGCGAGCCGATCAGAGTCCTTGCACAACGTGCCTTTCCTTCGTGAAGGTTGATGGAGGTATGCTCCGACACCAACATGTTTGCGGGTCCCTATCTTGTCCTAGCGAGGTAGCCTGGACCTACTTCCAACTCTCACAGGGTCCTTGTTTACTTCTA